CTTTGATTTATTAGTATTAACCTGGATTTCTTATACTTTTTTTGTCTGGTTTTTTCAATTCATTTATTCACATTAAGGAAACATTACATGCTCGATAGCACATATTAATTATCTAAGGTGATATACCAATCTCATGACTGTTGCATGCTAGATTTATTAACTTTTTCAGGTTTTTTCCTTCTATTTCCGCATATAGTCATTTGTTATGATTTCCGTATTAATTGTTCATCATATTTGTGATAGGTTATTTTTATGTTACATTCCTATTTGATTTAGTGCTAACTTCGAATTTCTTATATTTGTTTTCCTTCTTTTTTTTTTCAGTTCACCTATTGACAGTAAAGGAACATTACACGTTCGATATCGCATAACAATTATATAAGGTATATACCAATTTCATAATTGTTCCATGCTAGATTTATTTGCTTTTTTAGGTTCATTTTCCCCGTTTCTTCGTGTATTCTTTTTTTATGATTTGCGTTTCAACTGTTTGCCATATTTTGTAGTATAAAAATAAAAATATAGTATTTGATTTTGATAGTTAAATTTTTTCCTGTCCTATTTAGTACTATGCGCTTCTTATGTTTTTCCCTAATATTTGAAAATAATTGGTCCCCCGTTGATTTTAGGCTTTACATTTTGTATTTAAATATTTATTGACAACAGCGTAAAATTAATGATTATCAATAATTACAGTAATTGAAATTTTATAGAATATAAATAGGCATGAAGAAAATAAAATTGTATTCTTACGACAAATACATAATCAATTTCACAGCACTTTATTATTTCCAAAAAATATCTCTTACTTACTAAAAATATTTAACATGTTTTCAACTAAATAGATACAGAAATAAACAATTACACCGCATCTTCTGAAAATAGATATTTTCTAGTTGACACGTCGCTACATTGGAACTTGAAATTCTTAACTTTACTGTTTAGAAAATTTTTAAACTCAATACACCAAAATTTATAATTATTTATTCAAATAAAAATATCTACTAATTTCTTTAGACTTCTATAAATACACTCACTTTATTATACTTCAAAATTACAAAATCAAACAAGAACCATATATTACACTTCTCTCAAGCAGCATGGAAACACTCTAAACTTATCCCACAAATTGCAATTTCAGAGACTAATTGGTTTGCAAAAGTGATCATCACCGGAAAGCAATGCCCAAAGACGGCTTATCATTCTACTACCAAATACCAAACTATTCTTCTCATGGATTTAGAGGTACATAAATATCAACCTAAATAATGTTTCATTTTTACTATGCACGTATACTTTACAAAAAATTGAAGTTTTCTGTTCAACAGGGTAATGAGATTACAGCAACATTGTATGATACAAATATTATTGCACTTAACGACCAGCTTGAATTAGGGAAGACATACATTGTTTCAAATGCAACAGTAAAAGAAAATCGAAACCATTTTAAAAGCTCATCTTTTGATCCAAAAATCTGGATGATAACAGGACGAACAAAGATCGAAGAATTGCATGAACATAATTTGAACTTTGTTTTCTCGCAGTATCAACCTACACCATTTCACGAACTAGAACACCACATGGATAAGGACATCAACATCAGTAAAAATTCTATCAAATATTCTACAGTTATACATATGTTTTTGCCGTATATTATATACAGAATAAATGAAACCATGACATTTTTTTCCCAAATGTTATAGGTGTGGCGATAGATGTTAAACAAAAGAGAATCATCCAAACCCATTTTGGCACAGAAGCTACCCTTCAAGATGTCATGTTGATAGATAAATAATTCCAGACAGTGACGTTAACCCTATGGGACAGTTTCATGAACCATGAATGCATTACCATTACAACAAACTTGGCCAAAAAACCAGTCATATGGGTTACTAACCTAAAAGTTTCTTCGTACAACGGTATAAATATTTATATTTCATTTTCTCGTACCATTTACAAAATTATACTGCTTAATTTCTTCTTCCCTTATGTAGGTATTACTTTATCAACCAAAGCCAACAACACCTTCTTCATCAACTCTGACGTACTAGCTATTGCAGACTATAAAGAATGGTACTTATAATAAATATATATAACAACTAATAACAAAAATAAAAAGCATTACATTCATAGTTTTTATATGTGCATTTATATTTATTTTGTATAGGGTGCAAGCTAATAAAGAAGAACTTGACAAACTTACACAAAATAAACATTTTCTTGTTATGAGTCCACCGACAGTATTACCTCCAGCTGATGACAAATTGGCGCCAATTGCCGACTTACTAGGAGTTTGTTCAGGAGTACTTTCTCAGCCATTTCATTTAATATATATAATGAATATAAATGTCTTATTTCTATATTTTAAAAGAAATCATTACTATTTTTTAAACATATACTGGGAAATTAATATTTTCTTTTTTTTTTTTACAGAAAAAATTCTTTTGGATAAAAGCACATTAGAAAATCAATTCAAAAAATCAAAAATTTTGGTACATGTCGTGTGACAACTGCAATAGATTATCCAATGCAGACGTCGGTGAAGTTCACAAATGCCGGTTCTGTAAGTGTGAACATTCAAAAGGCATNCCGAATGAAGACATCAACAGTTTTATGGAAAGTGAAAGTGAAACAGATTGGCTCTTTTATCTGAAAGTGACACAAAAGCGGCAAGACCCTTCTGAATGACATTTCAAAATTATCTTTGCATTCAACTCTTCAGCAACAATGATTGATGATCAATATTCAATTGCAATCAGTAAACCAAATCCTATGACTAATGTACTCACTGTGAGTACTTCAGCTGAATCAGCAGAAAATGTAGACAACAAAGGCACAGACAACAAAGAAAAGACAGATACATTAAATACTGAAACATTCAAAACGATCCAGGCAGTAACCAGAACAAATCCAAAAAGGTCTTTCTTTCTATCATATAATATTTTCCAAACAGAATTGAGGTCACAAAAGAAGGCTCACAAAGATTCTGAAAGTAGTGACAAACCACTCTCCTCAGGCTAAAAAAAAAATGAATAAAATTTACTTTCCTTTTGTAGCAATAGGCAGCAAAACAACCTCCCCTGATGTGTCTGTCACTCTGTGTATAGAACTATCATGCAGAACTTTAGTATAGTTAACAATAAGTTCTTACTTTTGAGACTGCTAGGTAAAGAGGTTGTCCTGGGGTTTTTTTTGCGAATGTGAAAATTCTACGAAATATTATCCTCTTCCTACTATATCCTCTTTGTATCTCTATATGTGCTGCCGTTGTATATAAACGTTTTTACTTTTGTGTCTTTACAATTTATTATTTTCGTATCTTCAAATTTTAATTTTATATACTTGAATAAATATGAAGTTATTGTAAGTTTATTCATACATGAAGTTGTAAATTTACATATCAAGAAAAAGAAAAGCAAACTCATTGTCTCGACAAACTAGAAGTAACCTAAACCAGACAAAAATATGACAAACAGTATGGCTTCCAAAAGACAGCAAGTTCTACGCAGCAATTTAAACCTTCTAATGGAATTGACATTTCTCGTCAGGTAGTAGAATCTGATCACGAACATTCTGATTCTTGCCGAGTGCACATAACTGATAATGTAGTAATATCGGATAACAACCATTCTAATTTTTATCGGGTGCACATGGTTGGTAAGGTAGTATAGAATGGCCACTAACAATCTGATTCTTGCTGGATGCACATCGCTGATGAGGTACAAAGGTAGTAGAATCTGACCACCAACATTCTGATTCTCGGTGGCTGCACATTACTTATGAGGTGGTAGAATCTGACCACCACCATTCTCATCCTTGCATAGAGCACATAGTAGACGAGATAAAATATTAAATGAATCGGTAGGTTTTTCCTGTTCCGGCCGAGTGGGTATAATTCAGCAGGCCGTACGCGCACAGGGAGACACTATCTCCCTGTGCGCACACGGGGAGAATCCATCTCCCCGTTCGCGTACGGGAAGACATCATCTCCCCGTGTGCGCACGGGGAGAATGGAACTCACCGTGCGCGCACAGGAAGAAACCCATCTCCCCGTATGCGCATGGGGAGAAACCAATTACCCGTGCACACACGGGGAGCATCAAACTCCCCGTGCGCGCACATGATATATATATTTATTTATTTATTTATTCATTTATCAAATTCCAAAAAAATATTAAATAATATTCATAATCCACCTACCAAATTTGCAACTACAATACATTAAATTTCTTAAATT